GTGTCACATTGGTGATCCTTGGCTTGTGAATGCATGAATTCTGTTGTCCAATGGCCTTCTCACTATGTCTTCACAGTGTCTTCTTATTCATACATCAGTCATACTGGGTTAAAGGCCCACCCTACTCTAGTAAGCTAAGACCTTAACTATTTCTGCAAGGACCTGTTTCCAAATAGGGTTCCATCCTGAGGTATTGGGGGTTAGGACTTCAACATACATTTTTGGGTGACATAATTCAACCCATAACAGTTTTACATATCATGTAAGTACTCATTTCAATTTCCTCATTGCTTCTGATTATTTCACAGATGACTCTGGTGCTTTCCTGGTGCACAGCTTATCTGCATATAATGAAAATGATGTCTCTTTTCCAATATTTATTTATCATTTCATCTTCTTATCTAAGCTCATTGGCTAGTACTTTATCACACCTAGACGAGAGGTATTCATTATCTTTAAAAAGTTTGCTTTATTATTTTTAAAGTCTGAGTATGATTACTACTGGAGTGGAATATTTTTAAAAACCATCCATTTGTATTTCTTCTTCTGTGAACCGTGTTTCTATCCTTTGTTTACTTTTTATACTGAAGGTTTTTAATTAATTTGAAAGAGCTCTTGTGCACTGAAAACCTTAACTTCTTGTGACAGATTACAAATATTTTCCTCCAAGATTTTGAAAGCACCTTGTCAACTATCCAGCAGCCAGGAGAAAGCACAAAATATAAGAAAGGTACAGATCTACTGTAACATAGATTAATTATAACCTTTCTGTGCAACAGTCCAATACATGAGCAAATCCCTCTCATATTGTAAGAGTAGTAAGATGAATAGTGGAGAGCAATGTAGATTTTTATGAAGCACTCTTGAAAATTTCAAGTACAATAATACTTATAACTTGTCTTATAGTATAGCATTTCCAAACCATTCAATTTCTTTCCAGCCAAAGCACTCAAAGGTGCTTCAGGGACTAAATGATCTGATTAACCCTTTAATACCAAATGCCTCACAGCTCTGGCTCCCACGTACTCATCAAGTTTACACTGACATTTAAAGGCCTTAATGCCATCAAAGAAAGGATTAATCTATCTTTGGTTTGTCTAAATGACCAAATAATAAGATTTAAGTGATAACTAGCTGTAGGATATGTCCTTATTAAATTTGATAGGATTTTTAAAAACCCAAGTAATGTAATGAAGTTTGCAAAGTGATTTGGATTAAACAGGTTTGACTGCTCAATCTGGAAGTGATCCAGTGCACAGGTACAGGTATAAAGGCAATTTTAAAATATCAGGCTTTGAATGTTGCTGACTAGAAAGTTGAGAAATGTTAAACAAACATTACAATATATTGTTTTAGCTAGTTTTCATTACTCATAAAATAAACGTGTGCTTATTTTAGCAGTGTGCCTTCTCTCCCCTCCTCACAAGTTTCATTCCCCCCCAAAGATTCACATAACTTAACATGGCACAAAACATGAGAAAAGAAAGACAACCTAGTTCTTGGGATGTTGATGTTCATTCAGAAATATAAATGTCCCAAAAGCCTAGACAGAAAGTCCCTGTCCAGGACCACTGAGGGGGTATTTTGATTTACTAGGACTAATCTACCCATTAGCCAAGAATGTACAAGTGAAGATGCTAGGACTTGGGAATGTTCTTACTGGCATTAAAACCAGCCTGGACTTGGTCACCCTACTGATTCCATACCTTGTATCTTTATTTCTTTGTCCTATGCATATTCTTACTTAAAAATGATGTGACCTTTGCTGTACAGAAAAATACAGATGTTAGGTTCACTACTTGGATCTGTCACTTGTATGCCTTTGTTTTGCCTGTGTTCTCTATGGAAGCCTTTATATTTGTCTGTACAAGGACTCGGGGCATATTACAAATTGTAAGTAGTTACACTTTACCATGACACTATATACCTGCAATTTGTATGACTTTGCACATATTCACTAAGACAACTGATCTAAGAAGTTTATACGTCTCTGTGTGTGTGTAAAATTTTCACAAATAGAATAATTTTATATGATTGTATTTGGGTGTGTTTTTCACCACCCAATAGCAGGTAGGAGTTGTACATAGTAAGAACACATATTGTATACACACACACATTCATATATATGTCCTGGGTCACAATGGAAAATGTGTTTTGTATTGTGGTTTGCAGTCAAAACAGTGGGAAAGGCACTGTATTAAATGTGTTTGCAATGTGATGGAATCCTTCTTGGCATTCTTTCTCTCATTTCCAGAGGTCAAACATGTTCTTGCTTTTCATTCAATCTACAAATGTTTACTGGACAACTACTGTATGTTGGTTGAGGGCTCAGGTGTCGGGGCAGGAAGAAAAAGAGGCAAAATTAGTTGGCAATTTCTACCTATTATTACACAGATATAAGGGTTTAAATAAAAACTTAAAAACAAGATGCTGAATTGCTCGTATTTTAATATACTTATTGATGGCCATGAAAACCTAAGTGGAATGTATGAAAAATTCCCAGAAATAAAGTCTTCACAGGATGTTAAGCCTCTTGGGCTTCTCATTAATACTTCGAGAGTGATCCAGTATAAAATCTATAGTGGAGACAGGAATTCTCTAAAGATACATTTGTTTTTCTTTTTTTGAGACAAAGTCTTGCTCTGTCACCCAGGTGGCAGTGCAGTGATGCGATCTCGGCTCACTGCAGCCTCTGCTCCCAGATTCCAGCGATTCTCCTATCTCAGCCTCCCGGGTGGCTGGGATTACAGGCACGTGCCTCCACGCCTGGCTAATGTTTGTGTATTTAGTAGACACGGGATTTCACCACGTTGGCCAGCAGGTCATAACTCCTGACCTCAGGTGATCTGCCCACCTTGGCCTCCCAAAGTGCTAGGATTACAGGTGTGAGCCACCACATTTGGCCAATAAAGATATGGTTTTTTTTCATTTACCTTATTATTGATTTCTTCTTTTCTAGGCTTTTTGGCAACAAAGTAATTTTTTTAGTAACCATGATTTGGGTCCTTGCTGCAAAACTTATACATACGAATCTATATATACTTTAGTATTTGTTCTCGTTAAGCTTTAGTTGGTCAAGAAACCATTTACTATATCTATCTATCTATCTATATATAGAGAGATGCTTATACATTAAAAAAAAATACCAAAATAGTTTCTGTAAATGAACTACTACTTGGAAAACTAAATATTAGTGCTCCCTCCCATCCCTCATCCCTTCCCAAGCCTATCTATTGCCTGGTGCTTGATAGCAACCACAAAATAATCTAATTTTCTTGGTGTTCAAACCTCTAATACTAACCTTAATATCACATTTTACACTATAATTACAGTTACTTTTTATTTTCTCAACTTTTCCTTTTCCCACCTCAAATACTTTTAAAATGGCATGTAATATGTTTTGGGATGACATTCCAATTTAGAAATGCTTCTGATATATGTTAGTCTCTGAAGAAGTAATTTTTGGCATGTGTAAATAAATTTATTTATTTATTTATTTTTTGAGACAGAGTCTTGCTCTGTCGCCCAGGCTGGAGTGCAATGGCACGATCTTGGCTCATTGCAACCTCCGCCTCCTGGGTTCAAGCAATTCTCCTGCCTCAGTCCCCCAAGTAGCTGGGATTACAGGTGCCTGCCATCATGCCCAGCAAATTTTTGTACTTTTTAGTAGAGATGGGGTTTCACCATGTTGGTCAGACTGGTCTTGAACTCCTGACCTCAGGTGATCCACTTGCCTTGGCCTCCCAAAGTGCTGGGATTACAGGCATGAGCCACCGCACCTGGCAAAAGTTTATAAGTGATATAATCTGTGCTTTATAACAACAGAACCTTTAGGAATAATTTAGGAAAAACAATTATTTTTCTCTTTTCTGATCTTTGGATGTATTCAATAAATATGTTATGATTTCTAGCAATTATCTGCAACTTCCAAAATCATACCAACCATACTAACACTGTAAGTATTTAATGCAGCAAAAATTCAAGTGTTGTTTTTTTCCAATTTTGACTTTTCAAATTTAAATGCTATACATAGATATTTGGTTCCTTATATCAATGCCCATTAGGCTGGTGATATAAGGCTCACACACATTTTCTGGAAATATAAAAAATCTAAATGAGTTGTCTTGTATTTTTGGAAAATAAACTCACATGATTGGCTAATAGGGTCACAACTGTACCAGAAAAATGTTTTCTGACAAAATGATACTTTTTCCCCCCGAGTCAATCTAGATAATCAAGACTGGGCTACAGCCAAATTGTGGTGGAGCTGGCCCAAATATTCATAACTCTGTGTTCAGTGATGTCATATTAGTAGGATGAAATTGGTCACAGTCGGAGTATTTATACCACAGAAATCAGCAAAAGCTACCAATCAGAGGCTCCCCTCCTATTCTGAAGAGCCTTTAAATATTTGCTAGCACCACTTCACTGGCAATAGCCATTATTGTTTAAAAATACCATTCAACTCTTCATTGTTCATAAGAATCTTATTTGAAGATCTAAATGGTTGGGTGTTTTCTGTGTGAATCTGTCCTGGAAAAAGATTTAAATGTTTCTCATTCATTGATAGTAATGGAAATGTTAGACTTTCACTGTGAAGGCCTTATGTGAGACCTTCCCCAAAAAGGGTTCTTCCTTTTGTATCAGTTGTATTTGATTCCAAATAAACTGCTTATAATTCAATCTTTTAGACATAGGGTCCTGCTATGTTCCCTAGGCTGGAGTACAGTGGCGTAATCATACCTCACTGCACCCTCATACTACTGGGCTCAAGCAATCCTCCCACTTTAGCCTCCCCAGTAGTTGGGAATACAGGTATGTACCACTATAACTAAAATTTGGATTGTTATTTGAAAAACTGGTATCCTATTTTTTAAAACTCAATCTATGCTTACGAAGCAAAATACATAGAGTGTAAATAGAACCTAACAGATTATAGTTCTCTGTCATAAAGTCTATGTGGTTTAATGATAAAAGGTTAATTTAAAAATTTTGTAAAGTACAAAATAAACAATTTTATTAGATGTATTCATTTATTTGACATATTAAATTAGACAAAGAAATACATACGTAACCAGATAAAGGCAATCACATTCTCACACTACTTGAACACACAGCAGTGGTCAAAAATAATGGATTGTAAAATGGACCCCAGGATTCAATGCAAAAACCACCCCATAAAAGAAAAGTTTCAGGCTTCTAACTTCACTGAATCCAGTACTAAACGTGCTTCTTTATATTCCTCAGTTTCTTCCAAGTCTTTTTCACATTCCTAAAATGAAATACAATAAAAATTAAGTTTATCCTTTTCAAGTTTCAGTACTTTGTTATTTACTCAAATATTACAAACCATTAATGTAAATAACTAAAAAATTAAAAGTAAAAAATCCCAAGCCTCATCTAAACATACTGTAATTCCACAGGTTTCCCACATTCTGCTCCTTCTTTACAAGGAAAGGAAGAAAAAACTGGTGCTTTTGCTTCACTGTATATATTCTCATATAATAAGTGAATAACACAGCCTTCTAAAGCTACCAGCATTAAGTAAATTAAATAAAAACCTCAGAAAAGTTTATTCTCATTTTGTTGACCCATCATCATCATACGAAAGAGAAAAGTAAAAAGCAAGATTTACTAACATATTCCATACATGACAGCATTCAGGCCAAAATAATCCACCAACTATTCCCAATGACAAAGAAGGCTTTCTATGTCACAACAGAGTTAAATATAATCTCTGAATTCAACAAATGAATTGCTTGCTTGCTAATGGGTATTACATACCCTACACTAAAGCAAACAAAATACATCTTTCATTTTCTGATATTTAAAGATTGAGTTTTTCCATAATACTGATATATAGGCAACTTTTACTAATATATTGTAATGATAACAGAAAAATGAAATAATATCATCTAAATTACTCTACACAGGAAATTTTGTTTGATTTTTACATGAAGCTATCTATGGTTAGCAATTTATGTCAGGTCAATAAAAGATGGAGATATACAAACAGAGTAGAGGAAATAAAGTATGTGTGTATTTAATATGCAAACTGAAAGCAAAAGGACTGAGAATTTGCTTAGCTCAAACTATAGGTAAGAATTTCTTAAACCTCCATGTTACACCTTAAACACATGTTTGTTCTCTGTTAGTAAATATAAGCTCTTCGGGGGCAGAGATATTGTTGAATACATCCTCACACACAAATATATCATCCAAAGACATTATTATTATTATTTTCGTATTTATTTTAGTAGAGACGGGGTTTCACCATGTTGGTCAGGCTGGTCTTCAACTCCTGACCTCGTGATCCGCCCGCCTCAGCCTCCCAAAGGGCTGGGATTACAGGCGTGAGCCACCGCGCCCGGCAGCCGACATTATTTTTTTCAAGCAATTTCTATTACTTTCTCAGCTACTAGATTCATGAGAGAAAAAAGCATTTAAACTGTTAAGAAATACAAATGATGCTTCCCATCTCAGTTAGTATTTTAACAGTTATTATTTCCTGCTTTATTTACCTTCTGTATCACAAGGCATTTATACCAGCAAGTATAAGTGTTATTCAGCTCCAAGTTATTATGAGGGGACTACCTAGATTACCAGTTTTTTCCCCCTCTCTCAAACTGATTTAGGTTTGAATGTGAAAGAATTCCAGATCCTTTTATTAAGAGCCCAAATTCTTTTGAAGTATTAGATCTTTTAAAATTTTAATCAATCAACTCATCCTCAATGTCTCAAAAGATCTTTATGTATGAAAACCAAATAATCAAGACCTTGCTGGACAATACTGGTACTATCATAACTTAAATAAATTTAGCTAAATTTTAATGAATTGAACAAACATGCTAGAAAACAGTACTTTTACTGGAGGCATAATTCAAAACACAATTTAAACTCCATTAATTATTTTAAAATATAGTGGTATAAAGGGCAAGTGAATAAGAAATACTGCTGACTAGTTCTCAGTGTTAAATATTTAAACTTTTGGCTTTCCATGTATTGGATTGAAAAAAATTTTTTTTAACATATGACACAGGTCTTTACTTACTAATATCTGTTGAAGATCCAAATATGCGGCTTCCAACCTGCGCTGGCAATCTGGGATCATCATCCGGGATTCTTGTAGGATCTCTACCTAGAATGAGAATCTCTGTGAGATGTTCAGAGATGGCAAAACTTGTATGTGTTTAGCTCATATCTTGGTAAATATATACTTATTAACAGGAATCAGAAAAAAGTTATGGTTACGTTAAATAGTTCAATATTTTAACTTAAACTGTGTTTATTAGAAGTTAGAAAGAAAGGCTGGGCACAGTGGCTCATGTGTGTAATCCCAGCACTTTGGGAGGCTGAGGCAGGTGGATCACCTGAGGTCAGGAGTTCGAGACCAGCCTGACCAACACGGAGAAACCCTGTCTCTACTAAAAATACAAAATTAGCTGGGTATGGTGGCGCATGCCTATAATCCCGGCTACTTGCAGAGGTTGCGATGAGCTGAGATTGCACCATTGCACTCCGGCCTGGGCAACTCCATCTCAATACAAAAAAAAAAAAAAAAAAAAAAAAAGGTTAGAAAAGCAAGACTATCACACTGTAAAATCTACAAAGTACAAGTTTTAGAACTAAATCTTTTTGGTAATCACCTTCTCATGCTAAGTAAAAGTTAACTGCAAAAGCTTTTCATAGAGCATTTATTTTAAAAGGCTATTTAAAATAAACTATTTCCCCTGCTGTCACAAAGCACCTTTATCCAAAATGGGATCAGCTGGTTATATAAATATCTCCTGCATCTTTTGAGTAATAAAGAAAAGCAGTGTTCAGATAATATCACATGGAGATAATTACTGCATGAAAAAAGTTATTGCGTTATTGATCACATCGTGTGCACACTGCAGGAGGTTCACACTGAAAGACAGAGGTAAAGAAAAATGAAAAGCAAAGACCAGCAGGTTCATATTTTTGATGCTTATCATGCATAAAAAGTTATTACTTATCCTCGTGCTTCATTTTAGGAGAGAGATTATTCTCCCCATGCAATGTGAGCCAAATTACCAACGTGGCACCCCTCTGAATCTAAACTTCTTGCCTATTCCTCCTGATGACAGACACTACAGAATTAAACACAGAAATATGTATTCCAGAGGATATTTCTGGACATAAAATCCATCATTCAAAACTGGACTATAACACATCAAATCATAAAAGAAAAAAAATCAAATCAATGACAGGGAAACCCAATTGATAAGAGTAAATAAGTTAATGCCACATGTTGGACTTCAAATAGGGCTTTTTCTTAGAGTAGCAGTAAGCTTTATTTCCTTAAACTATTCTCAGAAAGAAACATAGAGCTCATCTAAACATTTATTTCCAGAAAATAATGTTTGGTCAAATACCTTTAAAGAAATGGGTAGAAAATCTGAGCTTTTTACTAAGGAGATTATCAAGCTCATATAAAATAAAAAGTAATGATATAATTTAATGGCAATAATATTGTATTTTAATAGAAACTTTAGGTCCCAGTACCGTCTTCCTTTCCCAAATAGCTTTGTCAGAGCTCATATTGAAAACAAAAATCTGAAGAAGTTCTTTATTCACATCTATTTTCTCAGGTGGAAATCTATTGTTGAACTTAAGCCTCTTTTACTAATAAGGCACAGGTTGAAAATTTCAAACATAACATCATCATTTTATTTCAGAGCTAATCATACTATGACTACACATTTAACCACTGCCATTAAATTATTTTTGTGTATCTGGTTAGTTTGAATACATGTGAAAAACCAGTGACAGGAACATTTCATACTGGATTTTTCCTATTTCCTTTCCTATGGAATTCCCTTCAGAATGGTTACAGGAATTAAACAAGATGAAATGAATAGGTCAAATCCATGACAAGTCACTATATGTGTTTGTAAAAAAATATTTTCTAAGCTTTAGCCACCAAAAAAACCTTTAAGCAATGCCATCCAAAAATAACTTCTATTCATTAAAATTCTATCTATTATCACAGACCAAGAATCCTCAATCTATCAAAACAGGACTCCGACTTACACAGGGCCAAAGCTCAGGCTCTTCCATACACTACCCCAATTCATTCAATAAGTTTACTATACGTCTTCAGGATGCCAGGTACTGGGGAAACAAAGATGAAAAAGAAAAGGTCTCGGCCGGGCGCGGTGGCTCAAGCCTGTAATCCCAGCACTTTGGGAGGCCGAGACGGGTGGATCACAAGGTCAGGAGATCGAGACCATCCTGGCTAACACAGTGAAACCCCGTCTCTACTAAAAAATACAAAAAACTAGCCGGGCGAGCTGGCGGGCGCCTGTGGTCCCAGCTACTCGGGAGGCTGAGGCAGGAGAATGGCGTGAACCCGGGAGGCGGAGCTTGCAGTGAGCTGAGATCCGGCCACTGCACTCCAGCCTGGGCGACAGAGCGAGACTCCGTCTCAAAAAAAAAAAAAAAAAAAAAGAAAAGGTCTCTATCCTCCAATCCATAAGTCTAGGTGTATTAACATGAAAATAAACATTTGAGATTGCTTCAAGAAGCTCATGCCACAGACAGCCAAAGGAACACAGTGATGACTATGATTTGGAATCCACAAACCACATCTTCATCAAAGCCATAAATCATATATTTTACATTTGGACACTGAACTGCAACTGTCTGGAATAATTTTAAAACACAGTATATGAGGTGTGATTATTATGTAAAGATACCCGCCAAAACACCTAAACTTAATTAAATGAATATTATCTTTCAAAGGGTTTCCCTTGGGAGGTAGTATTCAAATTAACTGTCCTCTGTTTACAATATCTGAATCAACTGTCAGTTTATTCTAATGTTGACTATGATAAGTCTGAGCTTAATTCAGGATCTTGGCACAGACTGGGAGATGCAAAGAACCTTACAGGAACAAACACAACAGGATGTGGTACTGACTGATGTCTAATTGTTTTTAAAACAAGTTATGGTTTTATAGGGGGTACTTATTTGGTAAAATGGAAGTTGGGAGTTAGTTTAGCAAGGTTCAAGTATTATGAATAAATGGCTGAACCTAAAATCTAATCAATTTCCTTTAGAGACAAACATATGTAAATTGGAAAGGAAATACCCCAATGGGCAGATCTTCATTTCTGTCAGAAAGAAGAGCTCTGTGAAATAATCTGGCCAATGTCAATCCAGCTCTTAGGTTATTGCTTGATTGTGATGAGGTTTCCAGCTTCTTTAAGGATCCAGATCATCCATCAGAAGCTGGCTATACCTATAGCTATAATAATCAATAGATACTCTAATATTGGCTATTGGCTACCTCTGAAACCAATGGCATTAGTTTGCCAGGCTGGGGTCTAGAGCAATCCAGAGATTACTGGAATAATGGTTAAGTGTTTTCTTTAGATGGTGGTAAAATGGTAATGTACTCACTTCTCAGGAAATCTATTTGACTTGTATTTTATGGTTATTGCCAAATGAGTAAGATTGTAAGAAGAATCTTAAGTCAAAAAAAAAAAAAAAAGATCTTTGGGCCCTTAAGCTCTAATGTATCAATAATTACTTTAAGTGTAAATATACTAGTTAAAAGGCAGAGATTCATGGATTGGATCCAATAACATGCTGTCTACAAGAAACTCACTTCAAACATAATAAAATAAAAAATAAAAGGATGGGAAAAAATAAATTTAAAAAAGCAGGGCTAGGCATGGTGGCTCATTCCTATATGATCCCAGCACTTAAGGAGGCCAAGGCAGGAAGATCGCTTGAGGTCAGCAGTTTGCAACCAGCCTGGGCAACACAGTGAAACTCTGTGTACAAAAAATAAAAATTAGGTGAGTGTGGTGGCACATGCCTATAGTTCTAGCTACTCAAGAGCCTGAGACAGGAGGATTACTTGAGCCCAGGAGCTGGGAGGTTACAATGAGCTATGATCGTGACAATGTACTCCAGCCTAGGCGAAAGAGTGAGACCTTGCCTCTAAAAAGCCGAAAAATCAGGAGTGGTTAAACTTCATACCAGATGAAGTACACTTCAAAGCAAAATAATTATCACAGACAAAGAGGGATGTTACATTATCATAAAATTATCAATCTACCAAGAAAATATAGTGATCTTAGATGTGCATGCATTAAACAACAGAGTTTTAAGATATGTAAAACCAAAACTGATAGCGCTGAAAGGAAAAACAGACAAATCCATATACATAAGCTGGGGATTTCAATACCCCACTCTCAGCAACTGATAGAAATATTAGATGAAAATCAGTAAAGGTATAAAAGAACTGAACAACACCAACACACAAGGTGTAACTGACTTTTATAGAACACTCTACCTCAGAAAGAAAGGAGAATACAGTGTTGTAATAAGGAGAATACAAGTACTTTTCAAGTACCCATGAAATATTTACTGAAGTAAGCTATATTCTGGATCAAAAAACCCGAACAATAGCAAAAACCCCAACAAATTTAAAAGAACTGAAATCCTACATAATACATTATCTGACTGTAATGGAGTAAAATTAGAAATCATAACAGAAAGGAAAATCCCTACTTAGAAATTAAACAACATACATGTAAGGAACCCATGGGCCAAAAAAAAAAAGTCTCAAATAAAGACATATATAAATGGAAATGAAAATATAACATGTCAAATTTTATGAGATGCAGCTAAAGCAGTGTCTGTTGGGAAATTTACAGCACTAAATGCCCACATTAATAAAAAGGAAAGGTCAGAAATTAATAATCTTGTTTTAATTTAATTTAAATAAGTTCTTGCTTCAAGAACCTAGAAAAAGAGCAAAATAAACCTAAAACAAGCAGAAGGAAGGAAATAATATATAAGAGCAGAAATCAACGAAATTAAAAACAGAAAAGCAATAGACAAAACTGTATGAAACAAAAAGCTGGTTTTGGCTGGGTGCCATGGCTCACGCCTGTAATCCTAACACTTTGGGAGGTCGGGGCAGGCAGATCGCTTGAGCCCAGGAATTCGAGACCAGCCTGGGCAACATGGCAAGACCCCATCTCTACAAAAAATTAGCCAGGCGTGGTGACACACATCTGTAGTCCCAGCTACTTGGTAGGCCAAAGTGGGAGAAGTGCTTGAGCTTGGGAGGTTAAGGCTGCAGTGAGCCAGGATCGTACC